AATAACCTCTATAATCAATTAAAATGTATCCTTTTGCTTTATGTCTATAAATATACTTAACTAAACACTGATTACTTAAAGGGCCTCAAAATATTAAAAAAGGAACATTATAAATAAACTTAATTGAAATATACATCAGTCCTTTCTAAAACTGCCTATGCTATGCTACCTAGGTGAAAGTTTCAATGACATTCATTCTATTTACATCCTTATCTAGGAAAGCAGAGGCTTCCTTATCCTATGCCCTGAGGATGGTATAATCCCTTTAGGGAAGTCAACATTTACTATCACAATTTAGGGTATAAACACAAACACTATAATTTCTTCCCTGCAGAACTTATCATGAGGGGAAGGTCCTATGGGAGAGCTATGCCTGGATTTCTAACCAGGCAAAAAGAATTATAAGCTCTAGGTGAGTGCCACGTGCTATATGACATGGTGGCTCTGGTGTCAAGTCTGTCGTTTCCCTGCCCTCACACCCTCTGTCAAATTTATAACTACAACTTTGATTTCTATCTCAGAATGACTCTTGGAATATTCAGACTGTACAATCTGTGCTATGATCCTTTTAACACTAAAGGGGGATGCTGACTCTGTGACTGCATGTGGTCAGCGTTGGTATCTCCAAAGCCAATTCTTCAGGACAGTGGAGGTGGAACACACATCAAGAGTCGGCACTGAGGTCTTCAGTGGAGGAAGGGTGAGTTAATCAAGTTTTTATTGTTCTCACTCTCTATGTTGCTGAAAAAGGAGGAAATATATTGCATAGCAAGATACTCATAGGCAAGCAGCTCTAACTCTACTGTCTGCACTATTCTCAACTGACTCTGTGTTGGCTTCATCTCACTCTCTTAGAAAGACAGTAATAATAGTTCCAAGTGGCACATCCAGTACAAAGCAACCTCAGAGGAAGAAGAGCTGTGTCTCTTTCCTAAATGTATTTATTGAAGTATAATATACATATAAAAGAGTTACATTGTATAACTTGACGAATTTTAACAAACTTGACCACTTACATAACCAGCACCCAAATTAATTGTGTTTCTCTTTCATGCTGTCATACAGAAGCCTGGGAAAGCACACCCGCCTTCCTTTCTTCATTGTCTGTCCAGCTGGGTTGGAACGAAGGAGGAAAATGTGTAGAAACACTGAGGTGTATGTTTGATTATAAATATTGGGCTCCTAAGGGTCTCCTCAATACGTGGCACCATTTGTTGACTTCAAGGATTGTTTTAGAAAGACATCTTAATATCCTACAGACAGTAAGGGGACGCCTTTCCAGGAAGGAGAACATCAATATGATCTCTTCTCTAGTGAATTTCTCTCTTCATAAATGGTCATCACAGGGGAATTGAGGTGTTGAGTATAGTAATGGAAACAAGAGTAGGAAGCAGGGAGTAAAGGGACAAATGAATGAGAGGAACAGATGGGAGAGGCTTTCCCACTCTCCATGTTCATAAGCAGGTAGACTTGTACCTTAGCTACTCCAGTCTTCTATCTTCTAGTAAAGACAGGAGGAATTGTTCATCACAAGTTTGCTCATATGGACAAAAAATGGGGTGATTGAACTGTTGAAGGGTGTGTGTGCCAGTACATTCAGACTCCAGGAAGCAAAGGAAGACTTACGTGAATTCTGCCGATCTGAGTCCCTTTGTAATGAGTAAGTATGTGTAAGGGAAGAGCTGAATTCTCTACTAATGGAATTTCCTTATTTCCTCACAGATTTCCAAAAATGAGAATGCTGGCTAGAAATGACTCTTTAGTGACTGAATTTATTCTCGCTGGATTAACAGATCTTCCAGAGCTCCAGCAACCTCTCTTTTATTTGTTTCTAATGATCTACATTGTCACCATGGTGGGCAATCTTGGCTTGATTGTTCTTATTGGGGTAAATTCTCACCTTCACACCCCTATGTACTATTTCCTCTTCAATCTCTCCTTCATTGATCTCTGTTACTCTTCTGTTTTCACCCCCAAAATGCTGATGAACTTTGCATCGAAGAAGAATATCATCTCCTATATTGGATGCATGACCCAACTGTTTTTCTTTCTGTTTTTTGTCATCTCTGAATGCTATATGTTGACCTTAATGGCCTATGATCGTTATGTGGCCATTTGCAATCCACTGCTCTATAAGGTCACCATGTCCCATGAGATGTGTTCTGTGCTGACACTTGCTGCATATGCCATGGGATTTGCTGGAGCCACTGTCCACACAGGTTACGTGCTCAAACTGACCTTCTGCAATGCTAATATCATCAACCATTACTTGTGTGACATCCTCCCTCTCCTCCAACTCTCTTGTACCAGCGCCTATGTCAACGAGGTAGTGGTTCTGATTGTGGTGGGTATCAACATTACAATACCCAGTTTTACCATCCTAATTTCTTATATTTTCATCCTCATTAGCATTCTTCATATCAGGTCTACTCAAGG